TCTCCTAAATCAGACTGTGCTGTGTGCTTAGTTGCTCAGTTGTGTCTGACTCTCTGTGACGGCTTGCACTGTAGCCTGCCAGGCTCCTCTGTCCATGGGGATTCTCTAGGCAAGAATACTGGAGTCGGTTGCCATGCCATCCTCCAGGGGATCTTCCCAACTCAGGAACTGAACCCAGGTCTCCCGCCTTGCAGGTGATTCTTAACCATCTGAGCTGCCACAGAAGCCCAAGAATACTAGAGTGGGTAGCCTATCCCTTCTCCAGGGGATCTTCCTGACCCAGGAAATGAACTGGGGTCTCCTGCATTGCAGGTGGATTCTTTACCAGCTGAGCTACCAGGGAAGTCCAAAGTCAGCCTAGTAATTTGTCTTTATTCATGAAACCCAGTATCATCTAGAGTCATCAGAAAATATTTTCATTGACCAAAAGATGTTATGGTTGTAAAGAATACATGGGAAAGGAAGGGTCCTATTTCCAGTAATTGCTGAAAAGTTCCTTTTCAAAAGTGGCAAATTTCCTTTAAAAAAATCTGACATCTGGTTTAATTTTTCTCAAAAATATTTTTATTTTGAAGCATGTCAAATAGTATAGAGAATATTATTACAAAGATGTGAATATTTTCAACTCAGATACATCTAATCTTAAAATAATCTGTGTATACCTTTGTTTGAAGAAACAAAATTTCTTATCCATTTGAGACTGTCTGGGGTGTGCCCCTCTCTGCATTCCCAGGAATTACTATGAATCAGATTACTTTCATCATTTGTGTTTTGATATTGTCATTACATATTTGGGTATCCATATGCTCCTAAGAGTTTTTTAATAGGGTTATAAATGGTACATGGACTGTAGGCTGCTAGGCTCCTCAGTTCATGGAATATCCCAAGGAAGAATACTGAAGTGGGTACCCATTTCCTTCCCCAGGGGATCTTCCCGACCCAGAGATTGAACCCAGGTCTCCCTCATTGCAGGCAGATTCTTTAATATATAAGCCACCAGGGAAGCCCATCCTGAAGATAGCTTACTGTATATTATATTCTGCAGCTCCTTTTTGCTTTGAGTAATGCTTTTTAGATTTCATATTCATACACATGGTTTCAGCTTGCTCATCTCTACTATATTGTATTTCATATGTGAGAAAAATCAGTAAAATACTGACTCTTTTGCTGTAAAAGATATTCATACTGGTTGTAGAAAATACAGAAAATAGGAAGAGGAAAATCTTAACCTATAAACTTACCATGTAGAAATAATTACTTGTTAACATTTAGTATGTTTAAGCAATTTATTTTTGTGTGTGTATCTTTAATTGTCAAAATACACCTGTAATACCGAATCCAACAGCATATCAAAAGAATTAAACACCATGGCTAAGTGGAGTTTATCCCCAGAATTCCAGGGTGGTGCAACATAAAATCAATATAACATACCCCATTAATAGAATGAAGAAAAGAAAAGCACTTAATCACTTCAGTTGCCTCAGAAAAGGCGTTTGACAAAATTCAACACTGTTTCATGATAAGCAAATTTAACGAACTAGAAATAGAAGTGAACTTAGTATAATTAAGCAGAGTTATGAAAAACGCATAACCAACATTGTAGTCAGTGATGAAAGATTGAAAGCTTTTCTTCTTAGATTGGGAACAAGATAGTGTATCTGCTTTCACTACTGATATCAAACATTGTGTTGGAAGTTTTAGCCAAGCTCTTAGGCTAAAAAAGGACATAAAAAGGATCCAGATTGGAAGGGAAGAAGTAAAATTACCTCTGCTCGAAGATGACATGATATAGAAAATCCTAAAGAATCCATAGAATAGCTATTAACACCAGTAAGTGAATACAGCACTGTTGTATGCTTCAGAATCAGTACACAAAAATCAGTTGTATTTCCATATACTGTGTGCTTAGTCACTCAGTCATGTCTGACGTTTTGCAACTCCATGGACTGTAGCCTGCCAGGCTCCTCTGTCCGTGGCAGTTTTCCAGGCAAGAATATTAGAGAGGTTGCCATGCCCTCCTGCAGGGGATCTTCACAACTCAGGGACTGGACCCACGTCTACCACATTTCAGGCAGATTCTTTACTGTCTCTGCCGTCAGGGAAGCCCTTACTAGGTTCTAAGTGTATAGAAAATATTCAGGTAAAGATACATTCCAAGAATTTTTTAGTTTAAAACTCTCTCATTAAATTGTTCCATATGCCTAGGGTTTTGATATTTCACAGATCATTTTCCAGTATTTTTATAATTGCTTCCTGCTTTACCTTTTCCTAAGCCCTGTGTGTTCCATTTATCCAGAAGTATCGACTAAACATATTTTTTAATCCCAGACCCCCTGTCTTCCTGTGTCCCCTCTTCATGTTTGAAGGATGCCCCCCCACTACTGTTCTTGTCATGTTTGACCCTTTTCCACATTGGCTGTGGGTGCAGATGTAGGCCAGTGACCAAGTGACTGCGATTTTCTTTATTCTTCTCAGGCATTCTCTTCCCGTCCCCTCTTCTTTCTTTGCCTTTCCCCATTCATCCCTGATACCTATCATTCTGTTAAACTCTAGTTGGAGTTGCTAATTCACACTGATGAGCAGAATGAGGCAAAATGATCCGTTTTTTTTCTTTATCCTGTTACTGTTGATTCAGACCTTTTGTGACTGCCGCTCATTTCCACCTTTCAGTAGTTAAAGGACCCTTTCAAACCAGATCTCTTTTACTGTGTATTCTCTGTCTATTATGATGATGCATACATATCTTGCCTCCTTCTGGGTATGTACAGAACCTAACATGGTGTAAGGCATTGGTGGTTCATGTTTGTTGATCTGAAATGTTAGTTTAAAATTTTCAGCTAAAATCAGGTTTTGGAATGTCTTAGTGTGCCATGTGGTGATCATTTCTCATCGCTGGTAGTCATTAGATGCTGGTTTATAGATGCTGTGGGAGATGGTGAGGAGCAACATGCCGTTTCATTCTTTCAGAAGTTTTCAATCTCCTAGACAGAAGTATTTGATTGCATTTTTTAGCTGTCTGTTATTTTATAGCATTAGTATACCAATGGAGTTTTTTTGGGGGTAGTGCGTATTTGTCTAGGGAAAGTTGTATCTAATTTTCAAATGCAAAGTTTATGTATAAATAGTATGGTAGGAGATTCTTCTGGCTTGAATGGAGAAGGCCCTGTATCTATATTAAGACTGAGAGCCCAGACAGGCCTGTCCACTTCCTAGTTATGCCACTTTGGGCATCCTCTCTGTGTGACCTGTGTAAGTAATGTGAAGCTCTTAGGAAAAAACATACCATGTAAATCTTCAATACTACTGTATTTTCACAGGTTAGGTGAATTTTGTTACTTTATTATAGAAATTAGAATTCCTGCTGTCTGTCTGTGTTACAACAGTCTTGGGTTGGAAAAAAATCTGTTCTAGCTAGTATTTAAGAATGTCTAAGATTTTTAAACCACAAAAGTTCTCAATAATTAAGTTTCTGTGTCCTTGATATACTTTGCTATTATCAGTCTTAGACCACTCCAGGGTTCTTTATTTTCTTCTCCTTTTGGTCAAAGAATAGGAAAATGTGACTTGCTGCCGTGCCCTGCTTTTCACAACTGCTTGCCTTTACTGGCTAGTATTTACCTGAAGAAATGATTCCTGCGTGGGTCATCCCCAGTGAGGAGGGTTCATCTTTCCCTTTGCCCACATAGGCCTGGATAAGGGAGATTTCGGAGGAGCAGCAACAAATCTGTTTGAAACCTGATAGGATGGTTTGGTTTTTTTTTTTTTTTAATGGAAATGGCACGTATACAAAGGATAGTCTTAAATTAAACCAGAGGTAAGGGAAAGGGTTCATATTAGTATGTGTAAAATTAAAACAGCAGAGAAAGCATAATTTTCATGGAGTATGAGATTTGGAGAGAAATAATAGTTTATCTAGTCCAACCTCCTACTAGTGAATAAACACTCATTTTGTGTTTATAGAAAAACCTGTTTGAAGTTTGAAACAGGAACTTGGTTTTGAAAATACTTCATTGCCTAATTATTTTTTGCTTTTTCTAGTGGTAGTTTTTCCCCCGGAGTTAAATTATATCTAAACCTTTATATCTACAAAAGCATCAATATATTTGTATCTATGAGGTTTTTATACCATTGAATGGATCCTAAGTAGAAAGGGAAGGTTTTTACTTTGGTCAGAAGTCATTCAGGTGAATAGTTGTAATTTTTAAATCACTGTTTAATTAATGTGCATAATAGCTTTAAAGTAGATAAAATTTTGCATCTCTTTGCCCAATACTGCCCTGCAGTTTCCATCAGGCTAGTGCTTGTTTTACTTGCTCTGATCACTTTCTGCCACAAATATATGAATATGTGAGTGTGTTTGAGTGTCATGCCCAAATGCTTTTATAGTTATAGTTAAATCTGTTTTTTTGGTGTTTTCTTGTGAATTTTTGTTCTTAGCTGTTAAAAATTAAGAGGGTAATATTTACCCAACAGTTTGATTTTATAAGGAACCAAAGGAATGATCTTTGTTGTCTTGAAAAAAGTAGCAATTTTAAAAGGATATTCGCTAAATATTGTGAAATCATCATTCTACCCAGGGAGATAGGTTTGAAACTAGACTTTTGCTCCGACTTGCAGATGAAAATGAGAAATTTATGACTGATTTACCTAGAGTTCAGCTGTGTAAAGTGTGTCCATTTTATCTTCATTACTGGTATCATACCACATTCATACAAACTCACCAACAGCATTTCTGTTGTTATACATATCTGTTACTTTCAGATGCATTGATTTCAGCAGATAACCACCAAGAGAAATTTTGTATAATGTTATTTTTCCACAATGTGTATTGTTAGCTCAGCCATTTTTTATGGGTGGAGGCTTGATCATCATGATGTAGTCAGAAAGATGTGATCAGCATTGGAAAAAGAAAACATAAGATACGATGAAGGAAAAATAGCTGCATAACTGGCTGAGTATATTTAATACATTAGAAAATAGGGTGCTAAAATAGATACTTCTTACTCTATCAGTCCTGTTTCAGAGATCTGAAAACTGTCAACGCTTTGTCCATTGATGTGGATGTCCAGGTCAGTCCTGTTTGGGCTCTTGGAGACCAGAGGAGTTTGAAATTCAGGAATAGTCTTGTCAAAATTCTCCATCTTGATTTGATATTCCCCTTTGGAGCCTCGGGTCAACAGAGATGCAAAACAGTGATGTAACATGATCTCGGCGGGCAGGTAGGATGTCCTCCTCTGGCACGTTTCTCCAGTGCCTTCCTGCGTTGCTGAAAGGAACACGACTAATTCAAAGTGGGGAGGATTTTCATGCTGGAGCAGAGTAGCCAGAGGACTTGATGGTGTAATAGAGTGGTAGTAGGTGAGTGGAAAGATAAAGAATGGACACTCCTCAGAACTGATGCCGTCAAGGTGGAAGTCCACACTGGTCTGGTAGAGTTTGCCGTTTTCTCGTTCCTGACAGAGTACAGCTGAGACCCGAACATTGGTTAGAGGGCTAGGTCGGGTGTTGGCCACTTGGAAAATGAGATTAGGTTTGCCATCTATGTGAGCTACTACTGCTACGTCAGTAAAGCGAATTGAGAAAGCTCGATTTTTTGGCCGGGCAATCTTCGCCACAAAGGCACCTAAGTTAGAAACCATTGAGTTTTTTTTTTAGAACGAACACTAGAAATGTCATTACCTTTTCTGAATGACAAGGATCTAGCAAATTGTTATACATTTCTTAGTGTCATGCCTGCCAAGTAAGTCAGGAATTGAACTTACTGTTAATTTCTCATTAGCCTGAAGTGTTTTTCAAAACAGTACATATATTCTTATTTTAAAACTGATTTCAAAATGGTTAAGGAAAATTAATTTGTCACATAGAAATGTTAAAACTTTTTAAGTTTGTTAGGAAGTCAGAGTGGTGATTGCCTATATTCCTACCCCTGCTTTAAAAAGAAAGGTAACAGAAAATAAATGCAATTTCGTTGCCACCAGATTACTTCAAGTTGAAATAGAGATTAGATTCATAGTAGAATGATTTGGGGTAGGAAAGGGACCAGTAGAACAAGTGGTCCATTAAAGAACTTTTAGCTTTGAAATTTATACAAAGCCTTTTTTCTTTTAAAAAGGCTCTGGCTCTCAGGTGATTTGAGAGTATGCTTCAAGTGCATCCTCCGCCTAGCCACCTCTTCTCTCCCCGCCCCCCCACCTCTAGATCAGGGTTTCTTAACTACTACTGTGCCTCAGATGTTGGCAGGCTGGTGAGGTCTATGGACCTCTTATCAAAATTATGCTTTAAATGCATTAAAGTAAAATACATAAAAGGAAACCAAATATGTGTGTGTGTGTGTGTGTGTGTGTGTGTGTGTGTGTGTGTATATATTTTATGCTAAGGGTGTGTATTCTTGTTCTCTATCATGCAATTCTGACTGTGCTGCTCTGGGCTCACTAGTATTGAGTAAATGTTGAAAAGATGAACTCAGGAGAAAATTCTAACCCAGTAAATGTTTTAAAAAAGAACAGATTCTTCTAGGTAAAAATGACTCAGTAATATGCATTGAACATACAGCTCCTTTGCAGAATTCCTTTTAGATTTTTTTGTTCATGAACAAAATTACAGTGATCCCTTTTTTCTTAAGTTTCAATAGGTAAAGTTTAAATACAGAGTCAAGTTTTTAAAAATTTCTCCAGTTGTTTGACCCTTGACTCTTTCTTCTCAGTCTAAGGCATTACTTGTCAATAATGCAAATAAATTATTCTGGAATATGATTGCTTATAACTGACTATACCCATTCCAAAACATTCCTATGCTTTTTTAAAGAACAAAAACAATTACCTGTGATAAAAGCCTCTAGCATGAGGCCTAGGAGCATTTGTATGGCAAGCAGGGCGATTGCACTTGGACAGTCACCGCTGGGGAACATGGTGCCGTAACCAATGGTGAGCTGTGTCTCCAGGGAGAAGGAGAATGCCGCTGTGAAACTGGTGATGTACTTGACACAGATAGTGTGGTTTTCGGGTGGGGCGTCATGATCTAGTCCCAGGTCACCATTCATCTCAGCCAGAACATACCAGAGCACCGCAAAGACAAGCCAGTGGATAACAAAAGAGGCAGAGAAGACCAGCATCATCCAGCGCCAGCGCATGTCCATTAGGGTTCCCCAGGCATCTCGAAGATACGCAAGACCTGTTTGCGCGCCATCCATTTGAAGCGTGCTGTGACCATCCTTGGTAACCATCCTCTGGCGTCTCTGAGTCAGGAGAGGAGCAATAACTTTGCAGTGACTGCCATCCATCTCAGGCTGTAATGCTCTGAAATCGAAAGTGTATTAGTAAACCCATAACTGTTTCATAGTTAATATTAGTAAATCCTGGTTTTGTAATTTTTTTTTTTTTTTGGAATGCTTCCCTGACTGCTGGGCAGGCTTTCCCAGTCTGATAGCTCTTTCTGTTTTCTCTTTTTGCATAAGGGAGCATTCACTGACTCAGTCATTCATTTGATAGCTCATCATGAATTGCCTTGAGATACCTCGTACTGGTTCCTTTAAGAGCTGTTGAAATCCTGTTTGGCATTTTAAAAAACTTCTGAGGGCTGGGGTTACCATTCATGTCTTTTTTGACACTTTGTCTTTCTTGCACAAGTCCAGACTTCAAGTGTGTTTATTTGATGCAACATTATGTGTAAATAACTTTTTTTAATTAATTAAGAACTTATAACTGAATAATGAAAAGGAATATTAAATATGTGTTCTTTTGTTTAAATAAATAGAAATCATTTAGAAGTGTAGCATTTCACTGAAAATGTTTGGAAGCCAAGCTCAGTGATAGGATAAGATTAAGCTTTTAGAGATTTGTAGTTCTACTGTATGCTTTATAATAAGCCTGCTGAAATTTCATAATTAGATTTTATTTGTTTTTGTTACTTTGTGGCAATTTTCATGGAGTCTTTCCTTCTATGGCTGGTGGATTGCCAGCCTTTTGAATATTCTTTGTTCTGACTACATAGTAGAGTATAGAGATAAGAAATTTGAGGTAGAGATTCCAAGGTAATATTAATTTCAAAAGTAAATGATCTAGAAGAAAAAGCTTCAAGTTAAATGAACTAAAATAATCATTAAGACATCAAATAGCAATTTTTAAAGCCTTAATAAAACTAGTTTTTAACTGTAGTCATTTTTCATCTGTGTTGATGTTTTCTCTGTGTGGTGAGCAGAAGTCTAACATGTGCATTCCATGTGACCATCCTTGCATACGACAAAGGTGCAGAGGACTTAGGCAGAGGCAGCCAGGAACAGACCGGGAGATGCTTTGCTTCCCTTGAGTGCTCCTTTCTTCTCTGCCTCGGTCCAGTATTGGGGTTTGTGTGTGACTCTTATTTTTTTAGACTTCTTCCTTTCGAAGTAGATGCCCTTGGAAGTGTTGCGTGTCACCTTCCTCATTTTTGAATGACAGCGATGCTTAAGAAGGTAACTGGAGGCGTGTGGAGCTAGGCTATTGCTTGAGTTTGCTGGACCCGCCTCTGTTTAGGAACTTTGGGGTTTTGGAGGCTGCCTTCCCATGTTGGAATTGGACCTTAGTAGCTGAGTACTTTCCCTTTTGTCCTTAGGCTGATTTAGCATTTCTGGTTGATATTAGAGACATTCTCTTATATTTTCTTTAGGCTTGAGTTGCTGATGGAACACTGGGATGACTGTTAAATTTATTTAGATTACATGGTCATTTCAGTTTCATATTATAACTTTTTAAAAATCTTAGGACCTTAATGTTTTATAATTTATTATCCTAACCAGTTGTAATTATCGTTTTATTTAGTGTTTATTTTTTTCTTGGCACAGCTATTTAATGACTCATTTTATCAGATTTTTTGATGTTTTAGAAGACCTGATATCTGCTGTTTTGTAAATTATAATAATAATAAAATACTGATAAGCATTTTGCTAGGTGCTTTTTTTTTTTGTTTTATGTTTTTTAATATTAAAAATTATTATATATAGTGTTTATCTACCTTAGTTTTTTTCTTTTTTTTTTCCATTTATTTTTATTAGTTGGAGGCTAATTACTTTACATCATTACAGTAGTTTTTGTTATAGATTGAAATGAATTAGCCATGGATTTACATGTATTCCCCATCCCAGTCCCCCCTCCCACCTCCCTCTCCACCCGATCCCTCTNCATAGTTTTGTAGTTTATTTAACCAGTCCCCAGTCAGTGACCTGTCAATTCATGTATCGCTTTAGTGTTATTTCAGTATTATGATAGTATCCTTATGCTTATCTTTTTCTGGACATGTATAAATACTTCTCCATGTATTTATGTAATATATGCATACAGAGGAGCTGATGGTACACTTGCTGGAGAGTATACATTTTAGAATTTTTTATACTGCCAAGTTGCTTTTTCCAAAAGCCATTTACCAATTTTACAGACTCCCTTCCACAGTTTGTAAGCATCCCATGCTAGCCACACTGGACATATCAATCTTTTTTAATTTGGGGCAGTCTGACAGGTGAACATTACCTCATTTTCACAGTCTGCATAACAGTGACCCAGTTACCCACCGATGAGGTTCCCAGGAAAACAGTGGGTCATAAAATGCAGCGACTTTGTATACTGAGGAAATGACATAATGAATTTAGATAAACACATAGTCAGTGAGCATTCTCTGTGTTTTCCTTCAGGTGGGTGGCAGATACAGACTCTTCTCCTGTAGAATTATTTTCTAAAGCATCAAATAGACAGCTGTCTGTGTTCTATTTTTTTAATGGACTGGAAGGAGGGCCTGTGACATGAATGATCATTTCTAGAGAGTTTCTTCCCCTATCTCTGGCCCATTAAGTTAACACAAGGAAGCATAAATAATGTATGATTTAATTTTATGATTAGAGATCTCAGTCGGTGCTTAGGACATGCTGCAGTGAAATTTTCAAAGACACAGGAAGTGAGGCCAGTTCACGTAGACACCACATTTAATTTCACACCACTGCAGATAGCTGGGCTGTGGTTGTTGTGATTGGAGGACAGGGATGGAAGTACAGGGACCATAGCATCTCAGACCCAGCTGAGAGAAGTGTCTGTCCAGAGGTCTGTCTGTGCCTAGTACAACCTGCGCTTTCAGACGAGGCAGCCCTGCTGAGGCCTGAGAGCGATTCTGAGCCTGCCTCTGGGCTCAGTGGGGAGTAGTGTTGTGACCCAGGAGTGCTCTCTACCGGGGCTGGAGAGGGGAGAATGTGGTCTGGCTGGGTGGCCAGCAGCTTCTTGTTGACGTGGCACATGGCTAAAGCTGTCCCTCTGATTGTCTTTGTCGCTGCTCTTACTGCTGTCCCATCTTGGTATCTTTCCCTCTTTGTCTTGATAAATCCCCCAGTGTCCAAAGTTCTGAATTTTCTCCTAACCTTGAGCATATACGTGACTGGTGCCCTTGCTCCTCAGGCTCACACCATTGGAGGGAGTCGCTTGACTCCTTCCGCCTGAGCAGGTCTCTTCTTCACGTGCATGACAAGTGGTACAGTTTTGAGCAGAGTCCCAGTAAATGTTTGGGCTCCCAGTACATGTCCTTAATTTATCACTGCATGTCCTTAATTCTTTCTTTCTTTATTTTTTTTTATGGCTGTACCTGGAGGCTCAAGGGGATCAAACCCATTCCCTCAGCAGTGAGAGTGTGGAGTCCTAACCACTGGACTACCACGGATATCCTTAATTCTGAGACATATTTTTTTCACAGTTAATAATGTTCCTAAAATTGGACTACATCTGGCAATCCTTATGTACATTTACCAGCAATTTCTCAAAAAGCTGTTATAGTTACATGATAATGTGGTGCAAATGAGGAGGTAATATGTTGAAAATGACCTAATTTTAATTTGTATGTTTTTTTGCAAATTAAGTTTTTCCATTTAGTTGGTTGGGATATAAGGCAGTAGCCATCATTAAGTATGTGAAATTATAAATTTCTTCTGCTGGTCTCATTCACACTAGTATCCCCAGACCTGTATTTTGAAATTCCCTCTGTGATGTCTCAGCCCAATGTATGACCCTGGGCAGTTTTCAGAAACTGTAGTTATACTATGACTCAGGGAATTAAAGGACAATCTCACCATCATGTTTCATCAAAAAAAAAAAAAATTTACTAGTCTCAGCTTCATTCCAGGAACTGCAGTGCCTCTCATAAAGAGATCTAACTGGTTTCTTAGCAGGGGCTCAGAAAAGAAAGCATTTTAAAAATTCTTCATATTTTAAGGAGACTACTATATCAATATAATTGCTTTGAAGTCTTTCAAAGAGAAACCTACTGTAGAGACTAATAGGTCTCTTTTTTGTTCTCTAATATTATTCTGTCACACTGTTAGAACAGGCTCCATATTTATCTAGATACCTCTATAGTTAAATCAGCTTTAAAACATTGTAAAAGGCAGTTTTAAAGACATTTTTAAATCTAAAAGTCCAATTCTGAAAGAATGGCAGCTTTTGTCTCTTGAGTTCTGCTCCTTCAATACCAGCTGTCACTGGGGAATCTTGCCATTGGTCAGCCAGCTAGGTACATTGTACCTGCGTGTTATCAGTTGCCTTGGTTTTTATTTGCCTTCTTTTTAAAATGCTGTTTTTGCTATTTTTTCCCCCTTTGTACCAATACTACTGTCGTGTGCCTGTCAATAATATTTTCCAAGTGCTGATCACAGAATTTTAGAAAAAAGAGAGGAAAGTAGAGGTAAAAGGGAAAAGTACTCATCTAAAAACCTACCACCTTTTCTTCCAGCTGTATCTGTGTGGAATGTTTATGTAATTGTATCATAGTAAATATATAAATTTTAAAAATATTTTTCTCACTATTATTTCATTAGCAGTTTTTCATGTACTACTTATCCTACTTTGTACTTTTTAAATAGTGCATAATAGTGCAATAGTGTGGTTTAGTTGATGTGCAGTACACTAACAGTACAGATGTTCAGGGACATTTAGGCTTGCTGTTGCTTATCGTTCAAAGGCTTTGTTCAATTTTCTTCACATTTTAATCACCTTTTCCTTGTCAGATTATATTTCTGGGGATGGGATCACCTAGTGAAAGAATGTGATTCTTTTTATATAGTCTCTAACATTTGCGTTTCCCCAAAGCAAGTAGACTTTTCTTGGCTTGAAGGAAAAATTAGAAAGGCTACACACAACCCCAAATTATCTCTCAGGTGTCATAGTGTCATACTTTTTCCCTTAAGAGAATCTTAGATTTAGGTAAAGTTTGGCCTGTCTGATGCTGGGGTTGAAATCATGAATCTCTGTATAGCCTTTGCTCTATTTTATTTCCTCTCTTTCAGAATATCCCGGACCCCAGCCACCTCCCCTTGGTGGCTTCCTGGAAGACCTACCCTCTGTTCTTTGGCACGGCCATTTTTGCGTTTGAAGGCATCGGGATGGTAAGAGATACAGCATGATTCTCTGGTGCCCTCGGTGTCCTTAAGGTCCGTTTTAAGGAATGCTGAGGAAATGCTCCTAGAGATTATCTTTAAGGTTTATTGGCCATTTAATGAACATTTCAGAGACTCCACTCAAGTTTCCTAGCTCCAGTTTTTGTTTCCCTCCAAGCCTCTCTATTGCACTCATCTCCTGTGTGTGCAGTAAGCAGTGGTGGGTGACAATTTGGAATCCAGGGTCTAGAGCTGGACCAATTTGGGGTTAGGCTCACCTCTACCAAAGAGTACCTTTGTGACCTTGTGCAAGGTCTTGCCTTCTCGGATTCTTCATTGTATGCTTCTGAAAAGTGAGCCTAGTGTTAATAGTTTTTAGGATTAAATGAGACATGTCTAAGGTACTTCACATAATCCCTGACATATGGTGAGCATTCAATAATTTTTATTTTCATTAATAATAGTATTGATATTATCATTAAATCAATAAACATATGAGTGAATTCTCTGCCCTGAAACTTTCAGCTGTATTTTCCATGTGTAAACCAATTGTCTTCACTCTTAGCTCATCTCCTCCATCATTGCTGTGATTTCACCAATTTCCCCTAAAGAGAGGAATCTGTCCCTCGGGTATACCTAATTAGATTTTTACTTGTGTTTTTCATAATAAAGATTCAGATTTCTTTTCTGAAGAAAGCTATTAGCCTAGGGTTTAAGAAATGGGAAGACAGTTCTCCTTTCATGGAGTATCTTTTTGTCCCTATTTGATTGCTCTATCACCTTACACACTTTTTTACAATTAATTTTCAATGGAACTTTACAATGTTTGTTAATTTCTGCTAAACAGCAAAATGAATCAGCTGAACATATACACATACCCTCCCATTTGGACTTCCTTCTCATTCAGGTGCACTGTCTAGGTTTCCTTTAAAGTGTATAAGGTGAGCATCCTTATACGCTTTTAAGAAAACCTCAGAGGTGGACATTTTTTGTCACAATTTGAGGAATTGCCTTGGTGGTGTCAATAGAATGTGTTAGTAAGACTCTTAACACCATGGGAGAGACTTTTTGAGTGATCATGTGTATGTGACTGTTCTGAGGTTTTAAACCTTCCCTGCTGCTATCTCTTGGGGCTTCTCATTGCCCAAGAACATCTCACCTTGATTCACAAACATATGGTTTCCCTGCTGCTTAGGCAGAGGCCTGAAGGGGCCCATATTACAGCAGGATAAAGAGCTCCCAAACACTCAGATCTGAAAAGAGGAGGCTGAGTGAATGTGGAAAGATGCCCGGGGACCCTGGGTTCTTAAGGAACATTATGCTGAATTTATCAGCTCTCCCTAACAGCACAGGGCAGAAGTTGTTCATCAGCAGGGGCTCAGATAGAGAGTCATTCTGTTACTGTCATTATCTGTTAATTCAAGATTTGTCTGTGTTTTCTCTTTTTAAAATAGATATATGGCTATTTTGACTCTTAGGCCGGATCTGAGGGTTGTTGGGTGTGACCAGGAAAATCTCTGGGCTCATTGAGCTTTCCCGTGCTCTCTGTGTTTCTGCACCCCTGGTCCAGACTGGCTGGCCTGAAGGAGATGGGCTCCCTGCCCTCTGGCTCCCAAGACTCCCCATAGAAAGAAACCAAAGAAAAGCTTAGAAACTGTTTCTTCTTGGATTGTGGATCAACTGAAGCTTGAGCCCCTTGATCTGGTGTGGGGGATGCAGAAGGTTGGTTGGAGATGCAGAGCTGTGATGTACCCCGTAGCTATGGGCCAACAACAGGCTCATGGTGTGTGCCGTCTGCTGGTGTGTCTGGCTGAGACATGCTCTGTCTGGTGGCCAGAGGCCCTTGTGGAAAATGGGCATAATGACAAGATCAAAGACAGGGGGAGGGGCCAGTTAGATGTTGCCCTAAGTTGCTTTTCCTGCAACAGCCCAGCCAGGTGCGGTTGATAGCAGATCATGAAGATTGTCATAATCAAATTTGGTCTTTTCTCTGTTCCCTGTGTGAACCATTCTTCATAAAATGCCTTTCGTAATAGTATGGAGGTTCCTCAAAAAACTAAAAGTAGAGTTGCCATATGATCTAATAGTCCCAGTCGTGGGTTATACTTGTCATATATACCCAGACAAAACTATAATTTGAAAAAATACACACACCCCTATGTTCATAGCAGCACTATTCGCAATAGCCAAGATATGTAAGCAGTCTAAGTGTCCATCAACTGATGAATGGATAATGAATACACACATACATAAACACACACAGGGATATTATTTAACCATTAAAAAGAATGAAATAATGCCATTTGCAGCAACATGGATGCAACAAGAAATTATGATACTCGGTGAAGTAAATCAGAAAGATACTTATATATGGGATCTAAAATGAACATATCATGAGACAAAAACAGACTCACAAATAGAACAGACTTGTGGTTACCGGGGGTGGAGTAGGTGGGGAGTGGGGGAAATGGGGAGTTTGGAATTAGCAAATGCAAATTATTATGTACAGGATGGATAAACAACAAGGTCCTACTGTATAGCACAGGGAAATATATCCTGTGATAAACCATAATGGAAAAGAATGTGAAAAGGAATATGTTAAAGAAAATCCTCTGCTGTGAGGGAGGAGGCTGCAGGGTCAGTGGTTTGAAATAGGAGTCTGAAAACTGGGTTTTGGTATACATCTCCATAAACCTCAGCCTCCAGGATCCTCTATTAAATCATGCCACCCCTAGCACCTCAGTTTCTCTAAGTTGGAGGTTTCACTTGTCACAGCTAGTGCCCACCCCTTTTGAGATAAGGAAACAGTTTCTGGGAGCTGGAGTGGCAGTTTTCCTTGACCTGCATTTTGCATTCTTGGGACAGGTTAGCAGAGCCATGATCTCCGTCAAGATACAGTTGGCCTGGGCCACCGCTGGGTCTCTTCCTCCTCATGCTGAGTGGGCATGATGCGAGAGGGCCTGTTGGGGGCTGTGCACCTGCATTCAAGGTGCAAAAGGCACTCCCAACCCGCAGGAGGCAGAGAGCCAGCCTGCAACAGGAGTGCTGGCTTCCGGGCCTGCCCACCATACCTCTTGGGACTTCCTGCTTACACAGCAGGCTCCAAAGCTCCTCCAGCTTGGCAAGTGTTGTTATTGTTCAGTTGCTAAGTTGTGTCTAACTCTTTGTGACCCCATCGACTGCAGCATCCCTGTCCTTCACCATCTCCCAGAGTTTGCAAGCATAACATCTGATGAACACCTTAACATTTGTCTGTCTAGTAAAATAAGAATAGATGTGCTTTGGGGAAGTTCTGGGGGAAAAAAGAGAGGTTACATTTTTCTGAGAATATTACTTGATTATTGTTATTGACCATTAATGTTGCTTTCTCGTCTGTCACTGTTCTCCTAGGTTCTGCCCCTTGAAAACAAAATGAAGGATCCTAAGAAATTTTCGCTCATCCTTTATGTAGGAATGACTATCGTCACTGCCCTCTATGTCAGCCTGGGGATTCTGGGTTACCTGCAATTTGGAGCTAACATCCAAGGCAGCATAACCCTCAACCTGCCCAACTGTTGGTATGTAGGGGACGAGGGAATCCTAGGAGCACTGGTTTTTTTCAAAAAATCAATGAGGGTCATAATGTGTATTTTTCCTCCTCCTTATCTCTTAAATCAGCCCACTTCACTTTAGCCCCTTCTTGCCAGTCACCAGACTAGCACCATCCGTCCTTGGCTGCCCATCAAGTCTTTTGACTGGTCTCCCTGCCTGAGTCTGACTCTCTCTTATATCTGTTCTTCTCCTGTTACCTGTGAGAGCCATCTAACCCAGTCCCATCATGCAGTCTCCCTGTTGAGAGGGCACAGAAACGTCCCTTAGTTCTTAACGATGAAGAGAAAACCCTTAGATGCAGTGAGGGCCACTCAGGCTCTAGCTCCACCCCCATCTAGCCCCTTCTCAGTGAAGAGGCCTTATACTGGGAGTTACTCTGTTTGAGAAATTCTCTAATGTCTCACCGACTGAAACGTGAAGTCTGGCTCAGTGGCCCTCCTCTCTGCTGCCGCGAGGTCCCCTGAGGATCCTGTCCTAGTTCTTATTCCATTGTGTTGTAGTTGTCTGTTTACCTGTGCTGTGCTCTCCCTACATTGTAAGCTTTATTCATTTTACTCCACCCCCCTGGCACAATGCCTGGCATACAGTCAAAACCAAGTGAAAAATTTTTGAACGCAAAGGGAGGACTAAGTGCTGAGACTGTGAGGCATTTATAAATGAGGAGAGCTTACCAGGAAGCCACTGGAGCCCAGAGGATAGAGGTGATCTGCCATGTCCCAGCTCTCTATATCCTTGGACAGGTCACAGCTTCCCACTGCCTCAGTTCCCCCTTTCTGGGAACTAAGACTAGTTATTTCTGTCAGAGTGGTCATGCAGATCAAATAACATGCATGAGCTTGGTACTACCATACTGGCACTGTGGAGAAGTAGGATGGTGCTGAGCTTTATACTTTGGATGAGTCATTCTGATAGAGACAGATGCCTTGTGGATTGATTGATCCACTGACTGATGGTGCCGCTTCTCCCAGGAGATCTGAGCCCAGAAGGGTCAAGCGTCCAGTCCACTGACCTCGAACCATTCCACATACACAAGGAGAGAGGAGGGCAAACTTGCCTGGTCCCCAGCTTCTGCTGTGCCTGTCCCAAGACTGTCACTTGCTCCATGTGCAGGTACAGGTGGAGCCTGTCACCATGGGCTAGGAACCCTTCTGTATCTCACTTTCCCTAAGTCATGATTGCTGTGTTGCAGAGAAACACCAAGACATACTGAAATCCTTCCTGGAAAGGTAAATGTCAGAAGGTGTGTCCTGAGCAGCAATTCTTTTTGGAAGATTAAAATTTCATTGCAGACAGTAGCTGTGAGCAGATGCTGTAAAGCTTGTCGAACGCCCTAGGGGTCAGAATAACCTTTCAGGTCGGCCTGGTTTTAGAGGTCTAATGGGTGAGGCGTTGTACAAGGACAGACTGAGGAAATTGAGAAAAATATTTTTTCAGTAGAATCAGTGTTTAATACTGGTCACCCTGATGAACAGACAAGTGGCAACCCTGAAGTGGGCTGTTTCCTCCCAAAGTCTTTCTCTTCCTCTCTAGTGCCTGCTTTTCAATTTCCAAATATTCATGCCCTTTCAAAAGAGAAGAGTCAAGTAGTAGCTCAGCATAACTGAAGATAAATGGATCAGGAGCAGCAGAAGCAGCCGACATAATCTGAAGCCATAGGCGAGCGTCTGTCTTCTTTCCTCTGGTGTTTCCATCCCAGTTCCCCTAGTCTTTCTGCCTCCCTTCGGGTATGATTTCTCTGGCTGTCCCAGCAGGTGGCTATCCTGAATCTAGACTTCCCAGCACTCCAGAAGGCTTTGGGGCTGCACTGATTTAATTATAGAGCTGCCAGCTGGTTTTTTCCCGAAGGGTTTTTAATTTTGCATTTTTGGAGCAAAAGACCTTTTGTCAATCTCAGTGTCTCCCAGGGTGTTCTCCTGCTTGTAGCATTAGAACATCTTCTAGGTATTATATTCAACCACAGAGAAAGTGCGTGCATACCATGAACAGTATAATCACTTTTTTTTAAAAAGTCTTTGTTGAATTTTTACAATATTGCTTCTGTTTTATGTCTTGGTTTTTTGGCCCTGAGGCATGTGGGATTTTAGCTCCCTGACCAGGGATTGAGCCCACGTCCTCTGCACTGGAAGGTGAAGTCTTAACCTCTGGACCACCAGGAAGTCCCTATAATCACCACTTTTAAATAGATTTCCATCAAGGGAGGGAGGCCCCAGTTTCTTGCTGGTAATGCATAAGGGTCTTCTTTGAAGTAAAACTTTTCTTAGGGGCAGGATGGCCTTCTCTTTAATGAGCATGTCAAATCTGAATACTTACTGATCAGACCTTTTTTCTACTCTTCACTGTCCTAGGTCTGGGATAAGATAGACGTGTCCTGTGGTAGGTTAGCAGTCTCTCCGAGAAGCCTCCCATGAAGCAGTGGTAGGATAGTAGCCAGCCCTAGTGGGATGGAAAGATGGCTTTTGTTCCTGCCTGTTCATTCTGATTTTAGGGAGCACTGAGTTGGATGGGAAGGATATGAGAAGGCTTGTTGCATTTGAATTGTATTTTCTTCCTGCTGTTTACTCCTTTTTTTCCCTTGCTTTTTAAAAATGTTTTTGTTTTTTAATTTTTACAATATCATGTTGGTCCTTGTTTTTATTTGTTAAAGGCTATATGCCATGGAAAAGATACCAAATGTTCAAAGGGCATACAGAAAATATTAGGTTTCCACTTGCCTCTTCAGGACCCCTGTTTTACAATTTTCCGTTTCAGAGGTGATCATTATCAGTTTCTTGTGTTTCCTCCTCAAGATACTTGGCATATATAGGAATGTCACATGTATGTGTGTCTGAAAGGGAGTGTTTTTCCTTTTTCCTTTTTTAGACAGTGGGTACCGTACTGTCAGCACTGTTCTGCTTCATGCTTTTTTTCACTTCATTGTATATCATGGAGGTAGTTTCGTATCAGCACCGGAGTTCTTTCTCCTACTTTTTAACACTTCTGTGGGAATGCCAGTTTTCCCAGGTGGCGCTAGAGGTAAAGAATCCACCTGCCAATCCAGGAGATGCAAGTGACATGGTTTGGATCCCTGAGTCGGGAAGATACCTTGGAGTAGAAAATGGCAACCCACTTCAGTTTCTTGCCTGGAAAATTCCATGGGCAGAGGAACCTGGCAGGCTACAATCCATGGGGTCACAAAGAGTCAGACACGTCTGAGCACATAGGGGTGCCATGATTTATTTAACCAATTCTCTACCGATTAACATTAGAACTCTTTTTAATCTTTCAGACTTAGAGCTGCAGCGACATATTTTTACTGTAAGTTTATGTGTGCACGTACAAGTATACCTATAGGATAAATCCCTAGACCTGAAATTGCTCATCCAAAGGAGGCATGTGTTTGTAACTTGGAGAGATATGGCCAAATCACCACAGGGCCATTTTGCACTCTCACTGCTGGGTGTGTGAGTATGCACAGCTGGCTCTGAGTGTGTCTCAACTTTCTCTGCAGGCTGTACCAGTCAGTTAAGCTGCTCTACTCCATCGGCATCTTCTTCACCTATGCCCTCCAGTTCTACGTCCCAGCCGAGATCATCATCCCCTTCTTTGTGGCCCGCGGCCCTGAGCATTGCGAACTGGTGATAGATCTCTCCGTGCGCACCATGCTGGTCTGTCTGACGTGTGAGTAGAAGACAAGATCATTAGCTTGTCTGTTTTCTCCCCAGAGGGCACCCAGTCCCCAGGGCTTTTGTGAGAGAGGGCTTGTGTCATAGCCAGTGTTGTGTGAGCAGGGAACTTGGGGTGCTGTCCCAGCATCAGAGTTGAGGCATGTCTGTGGAGGGACTGAATTGATTGTAGACATGCTCTAAAGGATACAGGAATGGGAATGGTTCTTTATAGAGACTGCCTAAAATGTAATGGCAGTGGTCATGATGCTTAGTAAACGGGTGCAGTTATTATTCTGTATGAAATAAAAAAGTTTAAAAGAGATCCATTTAACACACATGCGTAATGAGTACTGTAGGTTCTTTGATAGCAAGTGTATGTTTGTTTATTTCAAATAATCATGTTTCCAGTGTGACAGTCTATTCCTTGGATTGCATTCTGAGACTGCTTGATACTATTCTAGATACTTTTGGATGGTGGTCTCACCATCTGTTTCTTAGAAAGTTTCTGTTAACTACCCTAGGTGTTTGCTTTTTCACTTTGTGTTTAATTCCTCTCTTCTGACCACATACCTGGGAGTGTGAGCTGAGAGACAAGATAGAGCCTTATTTGTTCTTGGTTAAAACTGGTAAAATTCAAAAATAAATTATTTTTTTTGAAGCTCCTGTGAAGCTGATAAAATAATTCTTGAATAAATTGGTCTGTGATATCTAATTTAAATTTTAAGGGATTTGCAGTTTCTTTCCAAATTGAAATGCTTAAATCATAGATGTCTCTTTTTGGCCATGGTTAATTTTTTTTTTTTTTAACTTTTACTCTTTTGGGAAAAGAGACATCTTTGCTTATCATATTGGAACTTTCCTTAAAGTATGCAGTCCAAGCCTCTGTCTTTGGAGTAAAGCTGATCTGTATTTCTTTTAATAGGTTTTTTTTTAAGTTATTTTTTAATTGGAGGAAAGTTGTTTTACAATGTAGTATTGGTTTCTGGTTGCAACAACACAAATCAATCATAATTATATGTATATATCCCTTCCCTCTTGAGCCCCCCTCCCCTCCTCCCACCCTACCCCTCTAGGTCATCACAGAACGCCAGGCTGGGCTCCCGGTGTTATGTAGCAACTTCTCACCAGCTATTTTACACATGATGGTGTATATATGTCAGTGCTGCTTTCTCCATTCATCCCACTCCCTCCCTCCCCAGCTGTGTCCACAAGTCTGTTCTCTGCTTCTGCATCTCCGTTTCTTTGCTGCAGACAGGTTCATCAGTACCATCTTTCTAGATTCCATGTATATGTGTTAATATACAATATTTGTTCATTGGACCAGAATGGAGTGTTTTAGGGATAAATGATGTGATAGTTGTCTAACTTGTGCTCATAGTCTGGAAAGTTCGAAATTACTTCATTGGTTGACTGTTAGCAAGAGCAGGACAAGCAAGAGGCTGTCATCCTTTCCTTTCACCCAAGTAGATGTGGGAGCAGACTGGCGCCCATCCCAGGATGGCCCTCCCCCAGCCACCTACAGGTACCTTCCTGATGTTATTTCTAGGGCAGTGGGTGGGAAGCTCTGTGTCCCAGGTGTGCATGGAAGGAACTCACTGGAGCTGAGAACTCAAGACCTTCCTATTTAATCTTGGGCAGCTCTCCTGCTGAGGCATCCTTATAGGCTGGACCTGGGTAGCAGAGCACACACCTTGGTTTCACCAGCCTCAGAAAGCTGATGGCAACCAAGAATCTGCTTCTCATATTCTTCACTGTACAGCCCTTTGGGCTATCTCCTTAGACCAACCTGGAAAACAGCCAACTGCCTGCAGCCCACTGCTGCTCCAAAGTGTTTGAAAGGAAGGAATGTGCTGGGTGCAGCTTTGACTCTTCAGTAAAGCACCTGGATGTGTGATAAGATCAGAGGCTTGTACTCTCCTAGATTTTACTGTTGTCTCTTGCCGGCAACCCTGGAGGCTTTGATCAAGCATGTATGTTTCCTGTACAGAGGAATTAGATCTGAGTGTTGAGGAGACAGCACCCATGTGCACGGTGTTCATAATGTCAACTCTAAGGCCCTGATTCTTGAAGTCCAAGGGGCACAAGAAGAAAGGATAGGGATAACTCAAATAATGGGCTTTGTTTCCGAGTGGTTCCTATAGAGAAAGTAGGTCTGTCTGTGTACATGTGTTGTCCCTGCTGGAGGAGCTGGGGCTTTGAGCTGGCCCTGGCTCCTCTCACTACCGCATTTTCTTCTCAAGCTTGGCTCAGCCTCTGGTAGCATATGTCTCTCTTCCTGCCAGGCTCCTCTCTGCTGCACCCCACAGGAGCCAGCAATCCTGACTCACAGACCTCATGCTGTCCTTAGATGCCTCTTGGTTTTCACTTCGCTTTTCCTGGCTCTGTCTGTGGGTCTCACCTCCCTTCTGCAGTGTGATGCTCAGAGGATATGAGCTGCTTTTGATCTTCAAGCACATTGGGTTGTTTTCCCCTTCTCCTGCGATCTCTTATGACTTGACCTTGCATTGTCATCCTATTAAAGGGCATAGCCCCTTCATCTCTTGAGTGCTCAGCCTCCCTTGCCTTCCCTGGAGACTTTGAAGTTATTGTGGGATTCAGGAGTGGCATTTTACTGTAGCACCAACTTAATTGCATTTATCTGAGTTCATTTTGTTTTTGTATCTCTGTAACTTCAGATTCTTTGGCTGAAGGTTAATTGGTATATGATCTTAGATCTTTGATGTAACTGATTGTTTTCATTTACACCCATAAATTTTGATGGCAGCTTGTTTTATTGCTATTTGGGCTATTTTCTTGTTTTCTCCCCAACTTTCTCTCCACCTCCTAACTCTCTATCCCAAAGGGAAGCAGGAAAATCTGGTTCAGCCTCATTTTTTTTTTCCACTTAGAATTCAACTTTCTTACCACTCTTCCCCATCTGCCAAAGATGACCATGTCTACTTTTTTGATGCTTTATTTTACACTGTTGGAGAGGAAAGGAAGGAAAAATATGCATGTCAGAGATTGGTGCTCATTTTGTTACAGTTTCATATGGGACAGTAGTTTCTTCCAGCCCGTATGTTTGGCCATGCAGACCTAGCAGATCACCTTATATCCAGACCTCGTGTAGAAGGAGAGGCTGGGAGAGGCTGCTTCACTTGAAAGAGGCCGGAGATGTACAAAGAGTAGTTTCTTTGGATTTCTTGAGGCACTAACCTGTCCTCCAGTGGTTTGAACTGATTCGCTGTGGCATTTGCCACATGACACATTTTATTTCAGTTAGGTATGAGAATGTCATAAACCTGTTATTGAAGACCAGAATAACAGTACAACCATCTCAGTTAAGAGATGTATCACAGCCTAGAATATAAAGCAGTCCAAGCAGCCAGACTCTTTAGAGAATGAAGCTTCCAGGTCCAAACAAAGTGGCTTTCTCCACCCCCTTTGCCTCCCACACATTTCGGTCTTGCAGCTACAAAGAAAAAGAGCAGCAGCACTAACTGTGCCCTGAGCCCCCATCCCCACCGCAGGGACGGCCATGAGGCCTCAGCTTCTTCATCTGTAAGGTGTGAAAGGGATCCCCTCACTTCATGACTTTTTTGATGCTTTATTTTACACTGTTGGAGAGGAAAGGAAGGAAAAATATGCATGTCAGAGATTGGTGCTCATTTTGTTACAGTTTCATATGGGACAGTAGTTTCTTCCAGCCTGTATGTTTGGCCATGCAGGCCTAGCAGATCACCTTGTATCCAGACCTTGTGTAGGAGGAGAGGCTGGGAGAGGCTGCTCCACTTGAAAGAGGCCGGAGATGTACAAAGAGTAGTTTCTTTGGATTTCTTGAGGCACTAACCTGTCCTCCAGTGGTTTGAACTGATTCGCTGTGGCATTTGCCACATGACACATTTTATTTCAGTTAGGTATGAGAATGTCATAAACCTGTTATTGAAGACCAGAATAACAGTACAACCATCTCAGTTAAGAGATGTATCACAGCCTAGAATATAAAGCAGTCCAAGCAGCCAGACTCTTTAGAGAATGAAGCTTCCAGGTCCAAACAAAGTGGCTTTCTCCACCCCTTTTGCCTCCCACACATTTCGGTCTTGCAGCTACAAAGAAAAAGAGCAGCAGCACTAACTGTGCCCTGAGCCCCCATCCCCACCGCAGGGACGGCCATGAGGCCTCAGCTTCTTCATCTGTAAGGTGTGAAAGGGATCCCCTCACTTCATGCCTACAACTCTGTGATTCTGTACTAGTAGTTTGAGCTTGATTTTAAATTTCTACCAAAATATTGCTCCAAAAAAAGTGAATGTAATAAAAGATTTGAAGATTGTCTAGATTTAGAGTAAGTGAAAAAGAAATTCGCAATATCCCCGTGACTTAAAATAATTTTTTTGCATTTTATCTTGTGTGTTAATCCCCTTGGGCACTTTTTATAAATAATTGCAGTCCTCATATACATGTAACTTTGTCTTTGGCATTTTGTTTAAAATTGTCTCATGACTATACATATCCTTTGTAAATACTTTTTATGACCGCATGATATTCCATTTTACTGGTAGATTGTGTTTAGTAAACTACTCCTTTAACGCTGGACATGTAGCTTGTTTCCCTTGTTTTTGTATTATTTTAAAAATTTGTACTCCCCCTAAATGAAATTATACATTCTGTCCAAGACTGTTACTAATTTTAAAGACAGATTTCCAGCCGTTTGAGAGTCACACAGGTGAGCTTCCCCTACACTGATGGGGGATAATAATAAATAAAAATAATTATTTAATAATAATAAACAGCAGTAAGCACTTCTGGACACAGGAGCTGTAAGTGTCCAAGGGCTTTCTGTCAGTGTGTTTGTCTCTTAAGTGCTTTCTCTGCTCTTGTGTGTAAGTCAACTCTGTTGTGGTCTAAAACCACAGGCTCAGAATTCCAGTCAGTTCCTTCTCTGAACATGGCCGTTGGCCTCCTGCTGCTTCCGCAGTTAAAAGATCACATTTTCAGTGTCTCTTAACCCAAAGGGAAGATGTTTTGCAATACCACTGGAGCCCTCTTGACTAACCGTGTGATCTGCTAGTCCTCAGGGCCCACAGCTAAGCTGTTCCAGGTCATAGCTAGGCCGCTGCAGGGGACTGGGGAACTGCCAGTGGGGAGTGTGCTGTCTTCGACCCTCTTTGTATGAGATGCTCTTTCTGTGGGGGAGTAGGGAGATGGTTCCTGGAGGAGGGCATGGCAACCCACTCCAGTAGTCTTGCTGGGAGAATTCCCATCGACAGAGAAGTCTGGCGTGCTGCAGTCCCTGAGGTTGCAAAGACTCAGACGCAACTGAGTGACTAAGCACTGCACAGCACAGGGAGCCGGTTCCCAGCTGGCTGCTGCCTAGGGTGTCTACCTTCTTGGATTTCTTTCTCTTAAGGGCTTTAACTCATGGAGTAAAGACATTCAGTGTTAGAAGAGGTTTTAGTTGCTCCCATATCTTTCCTGAGTACCTGATTCCCATCTCTGGAATTAGTGAAATCTAGTTTGCCTGGACAGGAAAGCCTGGTGTGCCGCAGTCCCTGGGATTGCAAAGAGCTGGACATGACTGAGTGACTGAACTGACCTGAGTTTGCCTGGTGTTTGGTAAACAGAGGCCTTAGTTATTAGGCCCTCTATTTGGGTCCCTCTCCCTTCCTCCTCCCCCAGCATATTAACTAATGGGAAGTTCATTCTTCCTGCCTTCTCCCCTCATTATGTTTCTCTGGTGTCGGGCTGCATTTAGGGTTCAGCTGTGTATCCGGTCAAGCTAGGACAGGAAGAGGGTCCTCCCTTTGCAGCCCTGTGGTCCTGGTTTTTTAAAGTTTTGCCCTTTAAAAAATACCTCTATTAAGCACATTTGTGTTAAACATGCTTATCTTGTATATCGGTAGTCAAGTCAAGAGCAAGTTTTCAGGTTGCTATTTTAAAGTCATGATGAAATGGAACATTTCCATCCAGTCTGAGAAAAGATTCTGATCTCGCAAGCTTCTGTTTCTTTCTGTTTTCACTTAATTCTGTTTTCACTTAATTCTTATCAGAGTGGAGCACATGTGACTTCACTTAGCTTATATCATGAAGTACCCATCTGTCCTCCAGGCTAATATGCAAGAGGAAAGGAGAGGACAGACCCTCAGCACTGGGAGGGGCCATGCAGGTCCTCTGACTTGTCTGTTCCAGGGACTTACTGTCTCTTCATAAACGCCTGCTTTCTCTTCAGTGGTTGGAGCACCCTGGGACCAGGAGGAATAACTCATACTTCCTTTAATAGTGCAAAACCAGAGCGACTTGGTGGTTCAGTAGCTGAGTCGTGTCCAACTCTTTGTGACACCGTGGACTGTAGCCCGCCAGGCTTCTTTGTCCATTGAATTCTCCAGGCAAGAATACTGGAGTGGGTTGCCCTTTCTTTCTCCAGGGGATCTTCCCAACCCAGGGATTGAACCTGGGTCTCCTGCATGCAGACGGATTCATTACCAACTGAACCACTGGGGACGCCCTAGTTGGGGGCAGGGGAGCTAGAAGTTACATTTTTGGCCCAACCACGTCTTCTAAGATGGAATCCTGTCAGTCAGCTGTACCACTCTGGAGCAGCACATGGTACTTCCCAGGTGACAGTGAATTGAGGGACCTATTCCAGAACACATTGCCAAGTGACTAAATCTGCATTGTGCAGTTCCTTAAAATTTCAGAGTCAAGTGCAATGCAAGTGATCATCCAGTGTTAATGAAGTCACCTTACCCCATAGTAAATGAACTGAGGCTCAGAATGGGAGCTGATTCCACACCCCAGGTCACACACAGCTTGCTCCTGAGCAGGGATGGGTAATGCTCTTAGCATTTATGAGGCCTTTGTTATGTGTGTAGTACTCTAAGTTCATTGCCTGAATGATCTCATTTGACCATCCCTATTTAACAGTAGGGAAGATGTCTTAACTAGGTTAAGTAACTGACTGGTCAGTGGTAGATTGTAGCCTAGGTTCTGAGTCCAGACCCTTAACCACACTCTTATACCAGCCTCTCCGAGGCTCAGATCTGATGACTGCCTCAGCTGTTTCTATCCCACTGCTCACCTGAACTGAAACATCTAGAGCCACCACTGTGTGGTTAAACATTAGGCAGAGAGAGACCCAGACCCCAGAGAGGGCAAGTGTCTTACTCCAGGTCACATAGCAGATCAACTCTTCTTGTCTTAGGTTTTCCGTGCTGAGAGCATCATTTTGTCATCAACCTACAAACACTTCCAACTTTCCTCCAAATTCAACCCTGATGATTTGAGGGACATCATCAGCTCTATTTAGAAATAGCTGAAGGCTGAAACAGACTATTTTAAACTTACAGAGCAAGTTCAAAGCTTATACCTTTGGTAGACTCTGAAGGCTTCAGAACAGTGAGGGTATTCAGAGATAATTGCCGTGACGGTTGAATGTAGAAGAAAGAAGAAGGGATCACCCTGGAGCTGTAAAACCCTGGGCAGCATAGGCAGATCTGAAACTCATTTTCCTTGTACCTCCTTTTGTTATCAGGCTTCAAAATCCTTGTCTGGAGTCCTCTGAAAAGCAGAGAGGGGTCAGGGCTGACCTGTACTGGATTTTCTACCTCATGATTGTGGTGTGTCTCTGGGAAAGTTAATCTGGTGTCTGAACCCCTCAGTTCTTCACAGACAGGATCTTTCTGCTGATCAGCCAGATCCCCTGTTCTCCTTCCTCCTGCTCATACCATTCTGTATTTTCTTGATCATCAGGTCTATGATGTTACTGAATCAGGGGCTTGAGCCATAGTTCCAGTTCTGTCACTTTCTATCATGTAAATTCTCTAGGGCTGTCTTTCCACGGAGGCCGTAATAATGTTGTGGAGGTCTGTGCCCATGGAACGGAGGCGAATTCAGCTCAGCGAGTCATCGTTTCCCAGTGCCATCTGCTAGACAGTAGACGTTCTGCATGATGGGAGTGCTCCGGGTCTGTGCTGTCCGGGATAGTAGCCACGAGGCACAGGTGGCAGTTGAGTCCTTGCAGTGTGGCCAGTGTGACTGGGGGACTGAGTGCATTCAGATTGGGATAGCTAGTGACAGTGGCGTTATTGTACAGCACAGCTGCAGAGTGAGTGAATGTGAGATGGGTGATGTGGCTCTGCTCACCCCAGTTCCCAGCCTACCTCTTGCCTTCCCGCATGGAGTGGTGTTCCAGGCAAAAAAGTGAGTGTTTCTCTTAAAACCTGGCCTCTAAATGTAGCCCACTGCTTTCACCTGGCGCTCACCCAAAGAAGCAGCAGTCGATTCCGATAGTCCATCTGGAGGGTATAGTCGGCTGCACAGGATTGAGACGTTCTGGCTTCTCACCACTGTGATGCCTTCCTCAGAGCAATTGGACTTCGCTTCTGCTTTATGAAATGAATGTAGAACTGAAACCCTCCAGTGTGAGTCTACTGTGTCCAGTGTGAGTCTCTTATAGCGATCAGGGAGGAGATAGATTTGCCTTGGATTCCTGTCTCAATGCTCAGAACTGCCGGCCGGAGCCCAGCAGCAGGGAAGATGATCCATCAACATACATTTCATTTTTAATGAGTTAATGGTGCACTTGCCATGAGCAACGAAATGTACACTACTGGTGATACTATTAACTGTATTGCGTGCCTGGTATACACCAGGCCTTTTGTTAAGTGCCTGTGTGACCTCCTTTGATCATCACGGCCGCCCTGACAGGAGCTTTTATATCTTCATCTTGTCAACAAGAAAATTGGGAGTAGGAAAGAGCCATGTGTCACTCAAGACAGAGCCAGAGTCCAAACACTAGTGCCCAGTTCCAGAGCCCATAATCCTCAATAAACCTGTGCAACATTGGCCTTCACCACTCCCCACCCGCCAAGTGGAGACCTGAGTTAGGGGGAGTAGCAGGGTCAGTGGGCAATAGAGTAAGTCCTCTGCTTGGATTTAAACAGCACTGTCTGACTCGCTGGCCAGTGGCACAGGTGTTGGTGTGCTGTGGAAAGCTGTGGCGTTTCCTCACGTAGTCCTCATTTCATCTTTATCATCTGTTTCACCTTCCTCACATACACCCGGGCTAAGTGTCAGGTGTGGAAGCCACCAGCTTGCTCTAACACAGGAATGCAGTCATCATGGGGGCTTTGCTCCTGATGTCAGCCTGCACACAGATCTGCTGCTTTTTGCTGTATGAAAGCACCATATGCCATGGGGCTTACATGGGATCGTTCAGAAGGAGGGTCCCCCCAGCCCCACCATTTCATTTCTTGTCTTTCAAGTAGAGAGGTTTGTGTTGCAGGTGCCCTCAGGGGTAAGAAGATGAGCAGTCGCTCAGAGAAGGTCCGCCTCCTTTTCTGCTCTCCACTCACTCTCCTTTAGTAGGACCAGAGTGCTCTGGAATGTAATTTGGCTCCTTTTTTTCAGAAAGATGGAAGTCACAGACCGTGACAGGAGAAGCTGGGAGATCTGGGTTCCAATCCCAGTTCTTCCTACCTTGCAGTGAGTCCCGGGTTATGCCACCTCTCTGGACATCAGTTTTCTCATCTGCGCAGTGAGAAATTGAGCTGGATGATGTGTTGGCTTCCTTGGAGCTCCCCCTTCTGTGAGAAGGACTTGCTAGATTTGCTGAATGGTGAGGTGGTCTCTCCCAGCTCTGGGTGGTCCTCAACAGGCATGTCCTCTCTCCCACAGGCGTCTTGGCCATCCTCATCCCCCGCCTGGACCTGGTCATCTCCCTGGTGGGTTCTGTGAGCAGCAGTGCCCTGGCCCTCATCATCCCACCCCTCCTGGAGATCACCACCTACTACTCGGAGGGCATGAGCCCCATCACCATTGTCAAGGACGCCCTGATCAGCATCCTGGGTTTCCTGGGCTTTGTGGTAGGGACGTGTCTGACCCTGTACGAGCTGATCCAGCCAAGCAGCGCTCCCATCTTCGTCAACTCCACCAGTGCCTTTGTATAGCAAGCTGGGTGCGACCCTGCACCGGCCCACTCCCCGCTGTGTGTTCCCCCAGCACCTGGCCCCAAAGCCTCAGGTGGGGTCCAGGCTCTGGGGGAAGGTAAGGTCGCTGTCTGGGAACCCCTACCTGGCTCCTGGGTACCCTGGGTCAGGTAGGGATGAAGACAGGATAGGGGGTGGGCAACAGATTCGCTGCTGCGTGTGAGGTTATCTCTAGTAGCAGCACCGTCTCTGTTCATTTGTACCCAGAACTTTTTACCTCTTTTCCCTGATCCCACCTCCTCCCTTCACTGCCTGCGCCTCTCTCCTTCTGACCCACCTCTCCGAATTATCCCTGTTGCACAGTTCACTTTATCTAAAAATTTCAATGTCTCTCACCTCATGTTTTCTCCTTGCCCAGGCCATGCCTAGATGAAATAATGTGGACATGCCCCTGTTTATCAAGCCAGGCCCACCTCTTAGCCCTCTCCCAAGTATTTTACCTCATTATTCTCCTGCCTAATTGAGTCTCCACCCAGTAGTGGAGCCCACCTAGTAGTTGAAAACCAGCCCCCAAAGCTGGAGGTTTTGGCCTTCACTCTCTTTGGCTTGCCGTGACCCCTGGATATTCTCCTGCCTAATTGAGTCTCCACCCAGTAGTGGAGCCCACCTAGTAGTTGAAAACCAGCCCCCAAAGCTGGAGGTTTTGGCCTTCACTCTCTCTGGCTTGCCGTGACCCCTGGCAACACCACCTCTTCTCTGGTTTCCTTGCGTGGGTCACGATACTGTTATCTTAGTTGCTCAAACTGCTGAAAGATAGCAAGTGCTGCCAAAATTGAAAATATTTATATTTTATTTAAAACCAGATTTTGTTTTTAGATTCTGTCTCTAGATCTGGGACTATTTGCAACTTGTTCCTTCCTCAGTGAACTAGACCTCTCACTCAACTACTCCCTCTGAGAGGAAACCGACTCCAGGAGGCATCTACGGAGGCCCTCAGCCCCCTTGGCCGAGGACCCCAGAGCTTTTAGTCAGGACCATCGAAGTGCGGACCTCTGTGGGGAGTCACAGACTTTGCCTCCCATCAGCAAACCTGATTTCCTCCTGAGAAGGCAGGAAGGACTCAGGAGATGTTTGCCAATGCACAAGGCGGGGGGGAAGAATGGCGATGTGGGGTGGGTTTCTCTCCATAGGAGGCTTAGAAAACAGCCGCTTTGTGCATTCAGACCTGTCCCCCCACCTCAGCTCCTGACGGACAGAAGACACGGCAGCGTCCAGGAGGACACCCCGACTCTTGCCATGAACAAGAAGATGAGGCCAGTGTGAAAGGCAGTTTCCAGAGTTTGCAGCAGCTGATCTGACACTGCATGTGGTGCTTGGTTGTTTACAAGCCCCGCAGGACGGGGCAGGTGGGCAAACACAGTGCCCAGCCCCGAGCTGCCTCCAGGATCTGGACTTCTAACGGAAGCACTTGGTTGGGACTTTGGTCTCCTGTGTTCTGAACACTAATCGTGCCCTTGTCCCTCTCCCCGCCACCCCGCATGCCTTCCTGGGTATCAGAAAAGAGGCAGCCTCAGGGCTGACCCACCACAAGGTCAACCTTCAGGTTTGGGGACAAACTGCAGAGAAAGCTGGGAAATGTCCATTGCACTGTTGGCTGCCTCTTCTTCCCTCTTGGTGTGAGAGGTATCACAGAAGGCTGTTCACTGAATCTGTGTCTCTTGAGTTGTGTATGTGTGTGTGTGCACGCACACTCTCCTGTGTAGGTAACAGGGTCGTGCTGTCCTCCACCCCTGCCAGCCTCTTACCTGAAAGTGGGGAGAGCAGCACTACTTTATCAGGGGTTTACTTTTTGTGTTTCACCAAAGCTCCTGGGGGCCAGGACCCACCCTCACAGCCCCAGCCTTTTTCTTTCTCTTCTGTTCTAAAGCCACTGTCTCATTCATTGACACCTGACCTACCTAATCATTTGTTCACTTAGGAAGATGCAGTCAGTGGTGATCTGATCTCCCTTAGGAAAGTGAACACTTTCCCCCATTCTTTTGGCTCTTTGGTGGTCACTCACAGGTGCTCACGTAACCAGGGTTCTAGCTGGAGGTGGCAGTGGCCCTGCCCTTTGGAGCCTCAAGCTTTCTAAGTAACTTCTGGTTACCAAAGTGTAACTTCAAGAACCATCAACTCCCATTTGCAAGCCCAGGCTCCAGCAGTCTTTCCAGAGTGGTCCTAGGTATTGTTTCCAGCGAGAAGGTGCAGGACAGTATTAGGGGCTCAGACATGTGTCCCACACACAGCTTCCACATTGGAGGCTTCTGTGTGCTCAGGGCACTGCTAGAGGCAGTCCTGTCCAGGCGGCCCTTGAGACCCGGCCTGGGATGCTGGGACCTAACAACTGGACGCAGCATCCTGAGGTCTTCTGGCCCCAGGTCTATTGCTTCAGGACCCCTGCCCAGGGAACCTGGAGTGTAGGAGAGACCGCTGCAGCCGTGGGGCTTCAGCAAACTAGCTTGGCCTGGCCTTGGCCCTGTTCGATTGTTTGCTGTGCTTTTTCTCCTCGGGCAGCCCAGTCACATGGCTGCTTCAGGAGACCCGGGCGAGGCGGATGCCACGGGGACCTTCCTGCTCGTGCAGTTGCACAGCAATCAGGCGTTGAGTAAAGGGTCGGCCAGACGGTTGTAGTGGAGGAAGCCCTTCCTTTTACAGAAGCAGCCGGCGAGCCCAGCTCAGGGAAGCTTACTGCTCCGCTGCCCCCGGGGCTTCTCAAGCAGGGCTCCCTCCCTGCTGCCTTTGCAGCCTCTCCCTGGGCCCTGCTTTAGTCTCTGGTGAAGAAGCCCCAGCATAAGTAGGAGACCAATCAGGGAGGAAAAGAGCAAAGGCTTGCAGGAATGTGAGGCCTCATCTTCCTGACCAAAGGTAAACAAACGATAGGGCTTTCTGGCCCAGCACTGTTCCACTCTGTGTCCTTCTCCAGTCTCCCCAGGGCGGCCCCAGGTTCCATCAGCCCAGAGGTAGCTTCTCAGAGCCCTTTGTTCCCTCCTGTAGACGCTGCTATTGGGAGCAGGTTTCCAACTCCCTGCAGGTAGCATACCTCTCCTTAAATGCAGGTTCTTGCTGGGAACAGCGTGACCTGGCATCCTCTAGTCACTTTTTCTAGAAGTTGTACCATTCACAAGTGGCATTATTTATATTTATGTTGTGCTGCTAAGAGCCCTTCTGTGCACAGACCCTGGCCAGATGGATGTGACTGTGTGGTGTGTCTTAGCCTAGAACCTTCAGCTTAACTCCTCTGTACTCACCTCTCCAGTCAGATTCACTGGCTGATAATGCTCACCGTTTACCCTCTACCCCCACGAAAGGCAAACTTTGCAGTTTGCAAAGTTGTCTTAAAGTGATGATCTCCAAATAGGTATGTTAGGAAAATCTTTTTCCCCTGCTTGTTCTCCTGCCTGGCTTTTTTCCTCAAATCTCTCCCATCCTAAATTGTAGAACATCATCTCTGTTTAACACTACATGTTCACCTTATGTTTTTTGGAAGTGCAGAATCTCAATTTATGTCTGTTTACAGCTCTCTCTATTCACTACTCACCGCAAGGGAGTCTGTATCAGTTTATTTCATGGCTGATTGGATGTTCAGGTGAGCCCTGGCATCTACCTAGCTCAGAACACAAAGCTGCTGCTTCTCGGTAGAAATAAAATTAAAAAAGCTTGACTTGATGTACAGGAGTCGGCTCCAAGTCTGCCTTAGAATTTGATTTTCCAAGGTACATTACGCATCTCCAAGACCATTAAGAGGAAATGAAAGAGTACGGTTTGTATTGAAATCATGGTTAATACTTTTAGACAGTCCTGCTAGTTGCAAGGCTGTTTGCACTCACAGCATCAGCCTGTGATATTTCTTCCCTGTCCTTTGTACCCCCGGGTCTTTCCCTGGCCAGGGGACATAAATGGTGCTGAGCTGAGGTTACCAGAGTCGCGGTAGGGAGTAATGGTGAAGGTGCCTACTGTCAGCCATGTTCTTTTGTTTCAATCAAGGTGATGCTGTGGAAGTAGTTTTGATTTACTGAACAATAAAATTATGTGACTCTGTTGTAAACCATGTCAGTGGATGTGTGAATAAGAGGAATATGAAAAACTGCCATCCAGCAGGTCTTGATAACTAGACAGTCCTGTGTATGTTATGTGCCTGTGTGGGTGTGTGTGTTCTGAATGGTACATGTAGAAATATGGATCATGCAGGAACTCATGGAAGATTTTGTTTTGGGTTCTGCACATGGATCATGTGTTAAACTTTTCCTTAATAAATGAACTTTATTTTTTATTTTTGAGAGCTTGGAGTCTGTCTTTGTTTTCTCTCTCTCTCTTTTTTTTCCCCCAATCACTCAGATCCCTTTACTGGATCTTAGGTCAAAGTGTTTCTTGGTTTATGTCACAGAACTCATCTGGGGGAGTAGTGTGAACAGTAGACCCACCTGTGGATGGAGAGTCCCTGAGAAAGGGCAGGTAGTTATTTTCCTGTTAGACAATCCTGCTCTTCCTAAGTCTACTCCTGCTTCTCTTGAAAGCTTGAGTAGGAATTCTTAGCTCCCTCTGTGCATGTCAGAGGACCACCCAGGATAAGTGTGATGGTTTTCAGTGTCGAGGTGGTTGGGCGATTGTACTGAATAACCCAGTTATTCAATTAAACACTAACCTAGGTGTTGCCATGAAGGCATTTTGTGGTTGCAGTTAATGTCCATAGTCAGTTGCTTTTAAATAAAAAGATAATTCCCAAAATGTGGGTGGGCTTCATCCAATCAGCTGAAGGGCCTCAAGAGCATAATGGAGGTGGTTTCAGTGAGAAAGAAAAAATTCTGCCTCAAGACTGCAGCATTGACTCCTGCCCAAGAGTTTCCAACCACCAGCTGGCCATGTAAATTCTGAACTTGCCAGCCCTCACAATCACACATGTTCTTGAAATGCCTGTGTGTGTCTCTCTCTGTCTCCTCCTCTCTCTGCCCCCCACCACCTCCCATATGTTTTTATGTGTGTCCATCTCCATCTTACTTGTCCTGCTTCTCTGAAGAACCCTGACTGATATAAGAGGTAATACTTGTATTACCCCCACTTTTCTTGAAGTAACGAGATAGATGTCCGGACATGGAAGAGATGACTCCCCTTCCTTTTTTGTCACATTGAAGAGGAAAAGCAAGGCCATCCAAGCTGCCCCTAAGGTGGTTTGAAAACTAATCTTGGTTGGCTACTAGATTAGACTTCTCTAAAAGCAGAGCCCTCAAAGAGCACTGTTAAGGCACAACACTTACGGAAGAAGGTAGGGAAAGATGACTGTTTTCTGTGATCACTGTTATTACTGGAACTGAGGGGCTCAAAGGCATTCAGTGACTTCGAGGACAGCCGCCAGCAAGGGGCAGAGTTGGGATGCTTACGCAAGCCTTGTGGTTGTGGAACCCAAGCTCTTCCTGAGGCGCTGGCTGCCTCACCCTCCTTGTTGCAGCCTCAGGTGGGAGGGCCACCCTTAGGGACTGTTGAGAGAATTAGAGAGAAAGCTATACGGTACCTGGCATGTGGGGCTCATGAAACATGAAGTATTAGCTGAATTGAAGAAAACCAAGATTTGGAGAGAAG